GTGGGTAAGAACCTCACTTCTTCAGATGCAAGAAGTGAGGTTCTTACCCACGAAAGCTTATGCTCCCAGTACTTCTGTTAGTCTCAAAGGTGCCACAGGACCCTCGGTTGCTTTTTACAGATTCAGACTAACACGGCTACCCCTCTGATACTCAGCATATTGAAGGTAGTTTGATTTTAAAAAACGCTGTTTTTGTGCATTTTTAATTGATTTCTGATTTTCGATTTCCATGCAAATGGAGCTTGACACAAATCACAAGTCAATTAATCATTTGATAAATAAATACGTTAGTCACCTTTTTCTAAGGTTTAAAAAAAAAAGGAAAAACTAAGAATCTGAACGCATGCATCTTAAGCTATATAATTGCTTAAATAAATGTATATAGATATAATGTAGCCTCCTGATTAGGAAAGAGAAGCATCACAGTGTAAAGGCTTTATTTCATTCAAGTCAGTGGTTTTTTATGGTTAATAACTGAGAATCCACTTTTCTTTAGGAAAATAACTAAAAAGTACAAACACAAAAGAAGATTACAATTGATTTTAAATTAAGATTTCCTTTTTGCTGATTTATATCCTGATTTAAAATTGATTTAAATAAACCCTGTAAAATCGTGCCTTGAGATATAGTTCCCAAAGTTTGAGCATCCACGGTGTGAATTTATTTTTCTTGGAATGGCAGTTTTGAGGATTTATTTTAGGAACTGCATGAATATTAAACTGTTTCTGATGGATAAGAGGAAGATTTTTCAAAAGCAACCAAGGAATTTAGGAGCATAAGTCTTTTCAATTGAACTTTAATTTACATGTTTTTGAAAATCTGATAAATCTTGAAAATCTGTATCTGGCTATTAAACTCTGTTGTGTTGAATTAGGTTCCGCCACTGTGTTCTGCTACTTAATAAATATGTTTGTTTATTTTGGAACTTAATAATCAAGTTTAGGTATTGGATGAGCTTGTTAAAATCTGTAATCACAGAAGATTAATTGTAACTTTTGTTCTTCAGCCACTTCCAATCCTGTTACACCTAAACCACCCTTGTTCAATACCCTGCTTTACTCGTTGGTGCCTATAATGGGAATTGCGGTGATCGTATTGTTTTCATTTTGGATGTACAGACATCATAAACTAGCATATCCTCCAGTACTTGTACCAACCCAAGTAAGTTGCTATATTGTAATCTTAATGTTTTAGAATCACTATTTTTAAAGCAATGTGGTGAGGGAGATGGAGAGGATGTTTTTAAATGATGTGACTGAAATCTGACTTCCTTTGCGTACCGAAGCAGGTACTTGGTTTTCCTTGCGTAAGGAAACTTATCAAAATCAAGTACTAGTAGGACTAGGTTCTGATAATTTTAGAGCCTAACAAGATTCAGTTCACCTTTTAACGTTTTAAAAAAATGAGCATATGCTTTCAAAAAACAAAAATTAAGTAAACATGTACATATATCTATTTTAAACAGTAAAGACTCAATATTATGGGAATATTGTGAAGTCATGTTCGAATTGTTTCCTTGATGTGAATGGACTACCTACTCGTCAGAGGGAATAAGGTGCTCATGATCTACTCCTGTTGGGGGTGGTGTGTGTGTGTGTTGGGGGGGGGGGGGGGGCTTAAAAGTAAAAAAAGGAAGATAAAAACTGGTAACTAGCAAAGCAGAGGTTTAAAAAAAATCAGCTTAGACAGCAGTTTTGAAAAGTAAATAATTGAAGTGCAGTCATTGGATTGTGTACTAGTTAGCGTGGCTACTGCACAATTTGACTTTCCTCCCATTTTCTCTCCTTTTGTTAAACAAGCATTTTGCGTCTTGTTTTAAATTAGGTCCAAATCCTGCAAACGCTTCCGTATGTGCTTTAAATGGGAAGTGGTTTGAAGAACATGATCTTGGACTGTAAGTTATTCAGGGAAGGAGGCTAGCTTTTTAAAAAACAACAACTTTGTATAGTCCTAGCATGATGGGGCCCCAATACCTGATTGGCACTCTAGGTACTATTATAATATTAATACTAACTTAATTTATTTTATTTTTTTAGCGTGTGTGTAATAAATATATTCTGGTCACAAAGGGGCCACCTGAGATCAGCACCTCATTGGGTATTATAAAAACAGTAAGACCATCTCTCCCTGAGAGCTTACATCTCAAAAGACCAGACAAAGAGGTGAAGTGACTTGTCCAAGATCAAACATTGGATTGCTTTGCAGAGCTGGGAATTGAACCTGTATCTCCTGACTCCCAGTGCAATGCCCTATCCGCTAGAACAGTGGTTCTCAAATTGTGGAGTTTTGGCGAGCTCAAGCTTTGGTCCCCCCTCTGGGGTCGTGTATTGTATTTCTGTTGTCAGAAGGGAGTTGCAGAGCAATTAAGTTTGAGAACCCCTGAGCTAGAATACATTGCCTCCCGGGTAACAATATTGATTGATCTGATTGTAAAACAGACTACTTTTTGATCAGACCTAATCAAAACTTTACATATGCTTGTGCTCTGCTGACACCACTTTCAGTTGTACTAGAATTCCTACAGATTTTAGTGGTTCATACACTGAATGAGATCTGTTGGTTTGTTTCATTAGTAATAGATTGGGGGGGGGAAATCAATATTTGTCAAATGAGAAATTAGGAGGGGCCAACTTCTAATTCTAAAACAAGAATGTTCATTTTCATACTTCAAAAAGAGTATTGCGAACACCTCAGGATAATACCTATTGATACTTGGGCGGGTTTCATCATTGGGATCTGCTAGCATGTATCCTTCCACCGAATCTCATTGTCCTCAGTGGACTCCACACAAGTTTAAAGGTCCACTCTTAGCAGATCTCAACGTAGGATCAAGGCCAGAGGTGATAATACACTTAATGATCATTCTCAAAATCATTGCAAGAAAACCATTAGGTATAATAGATATTTGTACACAATATGTCATGTTCTCTTTATGCATGATGTCTAAAAAATTTGACAAGAGTCCTCAATGAATCTTTTTGAAGAGTAAAGTCAAGCTTTCAACAAAATGAGAATGCATCAAATTAATTTGCCTCTTCAGTGTACACTAACTTTGTAAATAGAGCACCTGTTGGATTTTTAAATTTGGTCTCTGCAAAAATTACCAAGGCAAAAAGGTATACACCTTAACATTTAAACACTTGCTCTCTTTTCAAGTCTACCATGCCAATGCCTTTTCTTCATCCTCCCTGAAGACACACATTTCTTCTACAATGCCCAAGAGAAGTGAGTCTATGGTAATTAATAAGTAAGCCCTGACAAATGTTATGCTCAAGCTCTCAGTGAGAGTGCACCTTTGTGTCGTGGATTGTCTGTTTTGTACAGCACTGGACACAACAATTCCAGATAGTGACTATTTGCATGTAAACGTCAATGTTTTAAATTGATATTGGTTGAACAACCTGTCAGTGCTCAATATTGACATTAAGGATTGCTGTATGATTTAGATAAGAAACTGTAGTGTTGGTTGATTAAAGTGCCTGTGTCAGCAAAATTTACGTGGAAATCTCATGAAAATAGAATTTATCGGAATGTTGTATTTCTTATCACTTCCAATCTCGCTGGACCTGGAAGAACAAAGACATGCAAAATTGGGGATAGAGAGTGAAGAAGTAGGAAAAGGAGGGTGAAACTATAGGAAGAGGTAGGAAACACAGTATAGGGAAAAAGAGAAGTAACTATAAGGTTGGAAAGTGAAAAAGGAACAAACACAGAAAACAATTTAGGAAGACATAATTGATGATAAGAAAGAAAAGGACAAAAATAGAAAAAGGCGGCAAACCACATTTAAAAAAAAATATTAAAACTTTGTTCACAATAAACAATACCTGACTGTTTTTAATTGGCATGCTTTTGGAGAATGCTGACAGCCTGGGTTTTTGTCACCCTGGCTGGTAGACATATGTCTTGCCTAGTATGACCATGTCAATGAACTGTGGGGGATGGGTGGGTATGGTTAGAATTAAGATTGTCAGTGATCTTAACTTTGTTTTCAAAAGGTGTATTTATATAAATGTAACCAACAGTTGTTAGATGAAAATTGTAATGACAGAGATGAAGGTTTTTCTCTGTAATGTTAGCAATACTTACATTCTGAACTTTGTTAAACCTGAGTTAGTTTTGTCTTGTCTGCTGTTGCTGTGCACAGATGTGGTAAATTGGGAAACTGGATTTGTAATTGTAAGCCTTTCTCTTGTCATTCAGTTGTCAAAGTAGGAATGCTCTTATCTACTGAAATAAATATACTACATGTCCATTTATAGTTACCTTAAGTATTTACAACTTGTTTGGAACTACACCGCTACCCCGATATAACGCGACCGGTAAAGCAGCACTCCAGAGGGGCAGGGCTGCACGCTCCGATGAATCAAAGCAAGTTTGATATAACGTGGTTTCACCTATAATGCAGTAAGATTTTTTTGGCTCCCGAGGACAGCATTATATTGGGGTGGAGATGTATAACTGTGTCAGGACAAATCTCACCTCAGTTAAACTTTGTACAACTTTTGGTTCAGGGGTTTAATTTTGGAAATGAGTTAAAGCTTTTACCTTTTCGCTTTTGGTTTTTACCTTTTTTGGTATTCGTATCTTACAATTAAAAGTAATATGTTTGTCGGGAGGGAAGGAAAGGTAGCATACCTAGTATAACACTTCTTGCCCATGTTTGAGCCACTAACACTTTAAATTTCATATTAATTATATATGGGACTAAAATGTAATTTATTCTCGGAGATATCCCCATATATAAACTGTTTAATATTTCATCATCTGGGTTTATTGTTTATGCTGTTAACTTCATGCCATAGTGTGGGTCTGCAGTGTAACCAAGTTAAAGCTTCTTTAGTTTTTAACTTTCTGATTTTCGTCATTGCTGTGCCTTTTAAATTTTTTAAATACCACATGAATGTAGCTTTTGCTACATTTTTTGTAAAAACAAAATCTAGAAAGGGCTGGTGCATGTGTGTGGGTTTTTAAATTTTTTTTATTCATTTTTATTTTGACAGTTATACCGCAAATGTATATTTATACAAGTGCTTGATCACACTGAACAGGAATTTCATTGACACTTTAGATTAGGCGTCAGTTTAAAAATTGTTCATGTAAAAAGCTTCATTTTTAGTGTTTAATGCTGGCGAAAATTGCCAGAGGTATAGCTTTGGAGAGTGAAGTCCTCTATCCACAGAACAGGGTGTAGAAAAAATGGCAGTTATCCAAACTTCTTTCCACTACCCTGCTGATTCCTCTGTTCTGGGGAGAATCACCTCTCTAGATAACCAAATAGTTCAATCTCCATACTCATTCAGTTGAGACCACTGTCAAGGATGTCAAATACCAGTTGTGGCTGTGGTGTGACTAGTGTCTGATCTAATAAATCTGAACATTTTACAGCTGAATAAAATGTCAAAAATTAAACTTTCTGCAGTAATGTAAAACAAGTTTCTCCATTCATTTATACTAATCCAGACATTTCACTAGGACTATTTCATACCTTTACAATAGCCCCGGAAAGTAAACATTGGAATTTTTTTATAGTTGTGTCCAGAATAAGAACCTCCTGTCTTGGAGCACAGGGTTTATTACTTCAAGATTAATACTTTTAACTTAGTCAGAGGACATCCTCTTAAAAGCTAGTCATTTAAGAGTTAAAAGGGTCAAGATCCTTGGATAACTGCACTTAAATACAGTAGTGACAAGTCAGAGCAGTAGGGAGGAATTTCTGATTACAGGAAGGAAGTAGTTAAGAGGTGAATTCTCCTTTAAGCTTAAAGTTTGTACAGAAAGATTCCCTAATTTAAAAAATGTATATTTATAACTGTTCTGTAGTTTTGTTGAAGGACTTAGTCTAAATTTCAGAGTAGCAGCCGTGTTAGTCTGTATCCGCAAAAAGAACAGGAGTACTTGTGGCACCTTAGAGACTAACAAATTTATTAGAGCATAAGCTTTCGTGGGCTACAGCCCACTTCTTCAGATGCATATAGAGTGAAACATATATTGAGGCCACACACACACACACACACACACACACACACACACACACACACACACACACACACACACACACACACACACACACACACACACACACACACACACACACACAC